AATTAGTAATGTAAAGATTAATTAATTCGTAAGCAAAAAAAAATGATAATAATTAAATTTGAGTCAGTGAAAATTTTAATTAAAATAAAAGTATAATTATTTCAAAAGTTCAAAATGAAAAGTTTTCTATTAAAGAAAAGTTCTAACTTTGCTTTTTCTGCTTGCTTAATTAAAATCCATACTTTATTTATTATAATCTGGTTTAATTTATTTATATAACTGTGTGACTTTTCACACTATTCCTCATATTTTCAGGAGAAATCGGTGTAGTATTTTAGTACACAAATTGCTTATTGACTCGTTCATACGATTGAACTAACCATAATTATTTGAATATAACTTTGGAAATAAATAGTTTATATACCGATTTAATACTTTCAGTTTAGTTCATTAAAATACAAACTTCCCTGTTAAGTTTAAATAAAATATAATATTGACTTATTTTTTGTAAATAATAATAATTTGCAATTAAATTTGTATTATTTTATAATTATCGTTATTAATTGCATGAATGCAAATATATGCTCCAATAATAATTAATATTTATCCGTATAAAATATGATTTGACAATATTTACAAAATTATTTATTGCATTAATAATTACAGACTAAAAGAATTGTAAAATAAACCCGAGTTGATAATTTATTAGTTATAATGACATTCGTTTATTGTATTAAAAAAAAAGCTGTTATTAATTATTAATAATTAATTATTTTTATGTAAGATTTTCTTTACCTTTGTTTCTAAATTCCATTTAATATTTTCATTAAATAAATATTTTTCGCTTATATAAGCAATAGAATTACGAAACATAATATGTTGAGTGCATTATAAACGAGAAAACAGAAGCAAGAAAGGATATGTTTTAGTAAGTTTTCAAACTACTTTAAGCTTTTCCATAAGCTATCATTTTCAAACCCATTTTCTTGATAGTTTACTCTAGTTTTAATAGACTTTTATATAAGTTTATTTAAATTGCCTATTATTTACAATCTGCCGTAATTTAACAAATACAGTAAATAATATCTGGAAATCTTCCAAAATAAATGTGATTTGTAAATAAATTTTATTATTCAAATTACGATAAATAAGAATTATTGAAGCAATTACATAAATTATTTCAAATAAAAAAGTGCCACAATTTCATAATCAGTAAATATATTTTAGTTTGTAATAATTGCATTGCAGAACATTTACTAAACAAAATTTTGAAGAAATAATGCAAAAGTTTGTATAAAAACAAATAATAAAGCATGTTGATTCATTGTGATTTTGTATACATAAAAAAATTATTTTTTTACACAGTTTGGTAAATCTTGTGGCTTAAATCTTTTGTGATTTCGTTGATGGATAGTTGTGTTGGTCAACCCTTCTGAGATAGTAATTTGTGATGGCTTTCCTTCATTTAGCATGGTGTCTGTACTATGGTGCATTTATGATCAACTTCAATGCCTTCGATTGGTTCCTCTGTATTATATCTATTTTTAAGTTGCAGACAGAACTCCAAATCTGTATGCCATATGTCCATATTAGTCTTTATATATTAGTAACTTATACTCTATGGATATCTCAGAGTTTCTTCTACAGTTTTATAAATTGCAATGCCAATTTATTCCTCTTGGTCTTTACGTGGTTCTTCCAGGTCAAGGGACGATCTAAGTGAATTCCCAGATACTTGTATAGATTTCATGTCTGGATTTTGTTTTATTCGCCTTTATCCTACACCTTTTCATCCAGGCTCTGCTGTAGTAGATTTGCAACATGTACCGGGTCAGCATTAAATGCAAGTATTGCTGTGTCATCTGCAAATGTAGCTATTGTAACCTGCCGAGTTGTTGGCAAGTCCGCTATGAAGATTAAGTACAATAAGTGCCCTGATCCACTTTCCTGTATACCGGTTCGTATTAGTTTCAATGATGTGCTTTCAGGAACTGCCTTTCCGTAAGGTAGGATTTGTAAATATTGTAGTTATACGTTTCTTAACTTATAGAGCCATACTCTGTTGAATTACAGACAAAGAAAAAAACTTTCGAAACTTTTCAAATGGATTGCAGTAACATAAAAAATAGGTGGTTTATAATTAGACGCGCATATTAATTACAAATAAAAAGTAACTTGTGCGTTATTAATAGATATAAACTCTCTCTTTTTATATTATGTAACGTGTATACACGGTACTTAACGTAAACTTGTAACGCGATTTTGAAGTTTCGATGCCGTCCACTTTTATGAAAATTGATTGAACACTTGCTGAGCGATGAGCCACGAAACGTCTTGCACGTGGATCGAGGTCAGATAAATTAAACAAGTATATTAAATATAATATACACAACTACTTAACAAATTTCTACATGTTAATCTTAACCCAATTATATTTTTTTTAATAAATTATCAATATGTATTTTTGATATTTTGTTTTTTTTTTAAACTTGTATGAATAATGCAATAAATGTTATTATTATTCAATAGGAAATTCCTTTTGACACAAATTTGAAATTTAGAAAGAAAATATAATTTATTTCTTTTTATAATATACAGATATCCACCGACTTACGAACTAGTTCCATCGCAAAGGGTTGCTCGTAAGTCGAATTTGTTCGTAAATCGGGGGAATTTTAAAAAGTTCAAAATATACTTATATTTTATCATGGTTTTTACTTCCATATATATTTAATTCCGCATTACTGACTGCATAAATTTGAAAAAATAGATTACAATAAACAAAATACTTAATTACAAATACTAAAAAAACGACAAAAGAAACAAATGCAACAAAACAGATAGTACATCTTCCAAAAATATTATATTTTATTAAAGAAATTATGAATTTTTGTTTGGACATCACAACTACGTGAATGGAGGAAGATTCTGCGGATTCACTTTTGCGCGTGTTGACCAACTCAGAGCCATAGTTCGCGCTAAAGGCGGCCATATCGAAAATTTTGAATGAAAAATTTAAATATTTTCCAACATTTTTCAATAAAATCCAATTTCAAATAAAAAAATACAGCCACCCTGTATATTTCCTTGTAACAAGTTTTAAGTAATTAGTTTTTAATTAAACGTCACATTTCCATCAATCCGAACGTTGAAAGCGATGAATGTATCATTTGCATTATTGCACAAGTATGAAATAATAAAATGTTATTATTAGAGCGGATTCTCTTTTGTATGTAAAACTATTAATACAAATAAAACTATTATGTGTGTATTATTATTTTAATTATTAATACTAAAATTGTAGAATGTAATAATTTTATTATGTTTTAAATAACGTTAAAATAACGTGTACAATATTTATAATTTTCTATGAATATAATACTGAGATTATAAGTAATACCCAGCAACATATACTTGATGCTGTAGTACTTAACAAAGATCAAACGAATAATAATCAAATTTAACATTTCGTGCTTCGACTATAAAGAATGGCAAATTACCAAGGGTGGATCAAACGTTTTTGCATTTCGGACGAAGTTTCTTTTTACGAATTTAATTTGCATGTCTATGAGCTTACACGTACACAAAAAAAGAGAGAATAAATAATTATTCTGTTCTATAGTACAATTAGAACTGTATTAGTACTAGTGTATTTCAATAAATTTACGTAATTCTAAATGTAGAAAATGTATAATTCAATCAAAAATATAAGTATGAAATAATAACATTTCGAACCTATGGTCAATAGCTCTTTGAAACAGTTGACTTTTCTGATTTATAATATTTATATTATTGAATCAAGTTTTTTTTTTTAATTTTGTAATTTTACTGTTTCAATAAATATTATTATTATTAACATTTTGAAATATTTATGTACTATAAAATAAATATAGTAATGATTAAAGTATTGAATAATTCATGAAATTTCATATTAACTCGTATTACTGTGAATGGGTCAGAGTGACCCATCTGATATTTGTATTCTAACTATTCCAGTATTTTCTAGTGCATTTTTCAGTAGGAGCAAAGCAATCGCAGGAAGAGTTGCTTATTTTATTGTAAAGTGTATTTAGTATCAAAATAACCCTAAATACATAGCAAATACGTTCTTAAAATATTATCAATATTTGGATTTCAAAGTGAAATAACTTTGGTTTCCCATGTACAAAAAATATAATTAATAAATTGTATTAGCTGAAACAAAGTCTTATTAATGTTCAATACAATAATATTATTTTTTATTGTCATGGCTGTAATAATTATTATAATTTTGAGGTTTTGTATTTTTTTTTTAAATATTTTTATTGATTATTCATATTTTATCAGTTTTGAATGATTTATTCATTACTTTTCTGATATAACCGATCATTTTTCCTTATTAATTCTTAATATGGTTACTGTCTTAATTTCATTATTCCAGACAAAAAGCCAACGTTTTTCTGTCATATTTTCTATAATTATGTTGTTCAATACAGTTATATAATTCATAATTGTGTTTAATAGATGGTTTATTACTATTTTTTCAGTTTTATTTTAACAAATATGGATAAATATATATATTTCCTAAATTTTTATTGTTACAGTTTTAATTTCATTATTCCATTGAAAGACCGAATTTATTCTCTCCTGATTTCTATTACTATGTTGTTCACTATACTTATATAATTCATAATTGTGTGTTAATAGATGGTTTATTAGTATGCAGAATTGTGGAGTCTATGTTAATAAATTGCACCAATTTTTGTAGAATAATAAATTATGGATTACGGAATTGCACTATGCAGATAAGAGAAGGATTGTTTGCCAAACCTTAATTGAATTCAACATATATATTTATTTATTTTTTTTGCTACATCCTTTGGATCGTCCTGTTTTTGTTTTTCTTGCCACCGGGAGAATTCGTGGCTCCAAAAATAAACGTAATTGCTGAAGTCAAGATCACAAAGTGCACCAAAGCGAAAGGGGGGATTGTTTGATAACGTTTCGTGTGGCTGCGTGAGCAGGGCTTCCCTATTGGCATTTTCCCCGAGAACAGGTCTTTGCATTCAACCCGACGAACATCGGGAAGCTCTCTGGTTCAGTTGCTCCAGACGCGTGCTAGCGAACGGTTCGCACCTCGGCAACACCCACGCACACGGCATCCATCCATAACATAAATGAACCAACAAATAAAACTAGAAGCTTTTCTACACGATTCGTTTAAATTGAAACGTTGAAAACACAAGAAACGCCTTGCTGTGATCCAAAGATGAAACCGACGTAACAAAATTTAAAAAGAAACAACAAGAATTTAACAAAAATAAACCGTTTAAGTAATTAAATAAGTGCTATGCTCAATGTCGTTTTAGATACATAATTGATATAATCCTAATATTGATGTCCATTTATCGATAGATCTTTACACATATATTTTAATACAACTTTTTTGGACAACTGTGCGAGTTCGTGTCCCCTTTCCGTTTGTTGTTGTTGCTGTTCTTGTTGGAAAGCTTTGCAAACTCTAAAACAATTCGTCCTTAAGATGTCCATCGAGCAACCGAAATCGCCGAAAGTAGTGGAGGCCAATAACGTTATCCCACCGAATGCCCTCAAGACTACCCCGAAAAAATCTTCAAACGCACCCCAACAGCGTGTTACCATTGCCGCTCCATACGCTTACGAGGTAAAAAGCACTTTTGAAAAACAGATACAATTAATTCAAATTTCAATTTCATTGATAAAAAAGAGATTATATATATATATTGTTAATTCATTCACATAAATAATGCAATTCTTTTAGTATTAGTGTAGTTGTTATAATATGTTTGTTAAATATTATATCAAAAAAAAAATACATTAATTATACAAAACATATTTACCTGAATATTTTTATTTATTAAGTTAATTCTTAAATTAATTAATAAAAGATGTATTTCTTTAATTTAATAGCGTCAAAATTGTTCATACAGCAAAATTGTCAGAAACTTTAAACAAATTAATTATAATTGATTAATATTTTAATTAATTAATTAACAAAAATATTACTGTTGATTTTGTTATTTTAACAAATTATATAAATTACATTAAATAGAGAAAAATAAATTTAAATAAATCAAATTGTTGCTATTAACTTAAGATGTTATTTAACATTAAAGGTATTTTTCAATCATCACTTGAGACAAAATCTACAAATGAAAATTCGATTGAAATAACAAAAACTGATTAATCATCTAAACATAGGACATAAATCTACACTTAATTACAAAATAAATGATTAAATTTTCAACAAGTTCATGAAATTTTTCATTATTTAATTCTATATAATCATTAACAAAAATTATAAATTACCAATTTTATAATTTTATTTAACAATATTTTTTTGTGCTGTCGATTTATTATAATAATAAATTATTTTTAATTATTATAATTAATAATAATAAACATAATTTATTGCATGTTTACATAATATTGACCTATTATAATTAATTATATATGAAAGCGATGAAGATTTTACAGACATTAATTTTATTTAATCATTAGTAAAATAAATATTTGGTTTATAATGAAGTAATTAAAATCATAAACAAAATCTTAACGATCATATTAAAATGTAATTAATTATTTAATGAATGTTCCTTTTTACTGTACAATTAATTTCAATCTTTTTAACATATTTACAAAAGTATACAAAAAAAATAATTAGTTATTAAATTAAATATATCAAAGAAATCAATTAAATTCTGATAATTAATTTGCAAAAAATTACATTTATATTTTAAGTAATTAATTGAGTCATTAACTATTTTCATTAATTATTTTAAACAAAAAATCAGTGTAATTAACCAAAGTTTTTGCTTAAACTATTAATACAGTTTTGCCATCTTAAAGGTTAATTAATGTTATTAATGCCAGCAGCGAAAATATCGAAAGGCGTTTTCTACAGCTTGTTGGGGATTAAATATTTTTCATTATAAGAAGTGGGTCAATGCCTTGAAACAATGATAGTCAGTGCAAGCTCCGAGCAATACGGTTGCTGTAGTTTAACCAACGTTATTTGTGCGATATGTGGACAAGTATTGTAATGCAAGAGATTTGGCCTGTCTTTAATCATTTCGTCAATTTGGTTGCATAATCGATTCATGAGGAGAGTATTTTGGCACCGAACTCTTACAATTGTCAAAAATAATCCATTTCATCGACATACATAACATGGTGATGATTTTCCTTTATGTCGCGATTGCAAAGAAAAGCAAGCTTCGAAACAATTTATTGTCTGATATTCGTTTGATTCGTGAATAACCCATCTATCCAGCTTCGTAACTTTTCTTATTTGTAAAAAAACCGTCAAATTTTACTGCTAATTCACGCGTAGTTTTAAATTTATGAGATTCCTATGCAGCTTTCAGTTCATCATTATGCACCTTCATTTTGAAGATCTAAATAGCCAGATCTGAAACCATCTAGGTACTATTATGTTCATCTTGCCTAACGCTTCGTTGGCTCTTCGTGTTATCAAAAAAGTTTTTTTACGATTTTTTGAGTTATCCATGGTTTATAAAATTTAATCTGCAAAAACCAATTTGACAAATAATCAGAAAGGAAAACAAGAGTCTGAAACTCTAATAAAGTAGCTACGCAAACATGAGTAATTTTTAAAGTGTATTAACAGAGATATCGAGTGTCAAAGTTGGTACTTGTGGTAATCGAACATTTCATACTTACTGACCTAATATTAATTTACACGTACTTTTTTTTACACATACAGCGGAACCTCGCTTAACACATTTTCCTATATTAACTAATGTACATTACGATAATGCGTTTCATGGCGGAGAAAAAAAGTATAACTTGGTCTCGATTTTTAATGATTTTGCTTTTTATATCTATGGTTCTTTTTATTCTTTGGCTTTTTATTAGGAGACATGAGAGTATTATTACATTTTACAAATTTTTGGAAATTTTGTGATCACAAACAACACTAAGATGCAACTAGAATGACCACTGACACTAGGAACTGTTTTCCAATTTACACACGATGAAGTGAGCTTATATTTGTTTATATTACTTGTATCAATTCGGGGAGTTGTTGGAAGTCTCGATGTACTTTTAATATTTGTTTATATAAAAAAGCGAACATAGTGTGTTTATATATTATAATAATGGTTGTACACAATACATTTGTGTTTTGCATTTACAGCAAACATAATTTATATTTGCAAAGTATAGTATGCTTTATACAAAGATGATAAAGAAAATCTTCTCATCGTCACTCGTTCATTTTTTCTTCCAATTAATTTTGCTCGTTAAGCGAGGTTCCACTGTACTGTAATTATTGAATAATAAGAAATTTCAATCTAATAATAAAAATATGTATTAAACTTTCATTTGAACCATATTTCATTTAGAATTAAACGTATATTTTACTATGCATACTATTTAAAGTTTGAGAAGAATAGAATATATTTTCTTCGGAAATGTTTTTTTTTTAAATATCGTAGTAGTATACTTTATTTCTAAGATATAAAGAGACGCTCATAAAATGAATCAATTTTCGTAAGTGATTTATGAAAGCGCGCATTTAACCCAAGGTTCTTTATGTAAAAAAGAAATATTTATAAATAGATCCTGCAGAAAATGTATTCGTATAAATATTTATTAACCAAAGAAGAAAAAAAAACGGAAGTATATTTCCTATAAAATTAAACTTTCTTTTTTTTAATAAGAATTGTTTTATATATTTAAACATTTGCATTAATTACAATACATTATTTAACATTTTTAACAGTACATTTTTTTTTAACAAAGTTCTTGAAGACTGTATTTATGAATTTGTGATTGGGTAAATCTACGAAATGATAATAAAAATAAACGTGTGAACCGGCACTTAATGAAAAGCAAATAAAGGTATTGCCTTACACATTTTTTTAGTTGCTTCTTTTTGTCCTCATTTTATTTTGTGTGGTTTTTAATGGCATCCAATTAGTGCCGCACTTATCGAAGGACCGGACGTAATAAGAACCTATTTTTTTTTGTGGCGGAAGCAGAGGCACGTGAAATTACTTCACGCCTAATCCCTGGGTGGAGTTTCGAAAATTATTGTCCTAAATATTGCGAGAAAATGGAACATTAAGTGATTACATCATGAACCATTCAGTATAATATAAAAGCCAGTAGCCCATTTCAATGAAGGTCATTAATGAAAGTAGTAATGTCATAACATTCCGTTGCTCGCACGGCGTCTGTGAGACAAACCTACCATAACTTTTAATACTGGAAAGGTGAGCAACCTCTACTTGTATACCTTTTTCATACTGACTGATGATGGAGATGCCGAGATTTTACGAAAATTAGCAATGAAATCAGACATATTATTATCAGAGTCTATCAGACGTCATGCGAGTAATGCTTGAAGCAGATGCAAAGATTTTTTTAGAAAATAAACATGTTTAGAATGTAATATGTTTTATTTTTTCCTCAACGATATATTTAACGGAGTCTCGCAGACGCCAAGCGAGTAACGGAGTTTTAAAAACTGAATAAAGTATTTAATATACTAATAAATATAATAATAAATGAGGAACTAGAAAGAAAAATAACATGTAGTTAATACTGCAGAAAGTTTCATAGTTTATCTAAATAATGAATGAAATCATACTATTTGCATAGGCTTATTGTTTTTAAATATCATTAGTATTTATAGTCAAATTTACAATGCAGTATTTATACTATTGTGGCTTTCACACGACTCGAGGTTATATAACTAACTTAACTGGATCCCTTCTAACAACAACCAATGTTAGGTTTAGAATCCAGATCAAATCCCTTGCCATTTGACCATTTATATTAATTAAACTTAAACATGTTATCAAGTTTAATTACATTAATTAAACTTTAACCTGAACTCACATAAAAGATACTATAATAATTAATTAAGCCAAATGCACAAATGCATTCATTAATTAAAAGTTTAAAGAATTTACAAAATGAGTGTATTCGTTTTCTAATAAAAATAAGATCTGAATAAATAGTATACAATACCTCGCATAGTGCGGTTTTGATCAATCTAGATTCACTATAGTACCGTAATAAACATTTCAAAAGAAACTATTTTGCTCAAATAAAATTTAATTATAAAAACATATTTTTCTTTTTCCACGATTATTTCAGATTCAAATAGTCCGGGATATTGGCGGAACCGGACTATAGGAAACATTTTGCACTACATGTTTTTAATACAATAAATCACAGTTTATTAATATATCGTGAGTAACGTGTGTTTGTCATCGAGATTCTCGATCAATTCAACCTGAAATAACCTCGGGTAAATTTACATCAGATGCGAAACAAACAGAACTATTGAATCGCACACAAACCAATAAAATACAGTCTATAAAAATGCTTATTGTTGCCTCTAGTATAAATCACTGTTGACATGTTAACGTCAACCCACATATGTTTTGTGTATAATTTAATTCTATTTTTCAGTCGTTTTCATTTCTTAATTTAAAATAATTTAGAATGTTCTTTTTCAAAATACAAAAATAAACCGAAGATGAGCTAATTTATGCCATTATTTGTGCCGTGATTTTCTCGACAAATCCTTAAGATAGTTACATTATCAACCACTCGTATGAAAACTGAATATTTTGCTTTTCCAACAAGCCTACATACATCTTCGTCTGT